CTTGGAGAGTTTAAGAAAATCATGTTTTAGAGTGGATAGCTCACAATGTTACCAATGGAACACAGAATCTTCTTTTTCTAGGTCACTTGCTTAAATCTTAGCCCTGTTTGGTAGCAATTGAAAATCATTACATGCGAGGGAATGGCATTTCTGTGGCCTATTTAAAATAATACAAATTCCTGACTTTTCCATAATGGCTTTTATGAAGCAAATGTGCATTATCAACTGGATATATATAGCAACTATGTAGTTATTACTACTGCTACTGAGGTAATGAAAAGTTTCAGTCAAGTGGAGAACAGCAAGCAGCACACATGAGTGAAGGAGGGAATTTTTGGCCACAGCCATTGGCATGTGCTCCTCTCTTGACTAAAAAGCACCACAAATAAATAATAAGAATGGGCAAGACCTCAAGATCTTGATTTGAAATTATCTTTGGAGTGTTTGGGTATGATAGTCTAGTTCCTTGTGAAGAGGTGTCAAAAGTCCCTCCTCCCAGCCAAACAAATCTTAACTCTTGGCTGAACCTCTCTTGGGTCCATGGCCAAGGACAGGATAGAAATGGAAACTGAACTGTCATCTCAGACTTAGAGGTGGTCCTTCCATAATAAAACTGAAGCACGATGGAGTCTAACCTCATCTAAAGATAAAAAGGAAGCTAACTGAGCAGTCAGAGAAATTGTGTGTAGGCATATGAACAATGCTTCCTTTCAACTCAAAAGCCTTAGGTATACTAGTATAAATACACATAAGCTACTGTGCAATGTGAAGATCTATTTTGACCAGGTGATTTTTTGCTGATAGTTTTGACCTCCAATGTCCTGAGACAGATGATACTATTTTCCCCCTGTATCATCTACCACAGTGGAAAAGTCCCTGGAGTGGGGACTCCATTGTTATCAGAGAGGAATCTGCTGGCAGGACATTCTCTGGTAGGTCCCAAATACCACTTGAACTTGATTCTCCCCTGGATATGCAACAGCCCAAGTTTGTTAACCATCAGGGAGTGGCACAATGCCCATCTTTCTGCTGGGCCTGTAAAAAAAATGATTAAGGCTGGGGCTCTAGTGAGGCCTGTGCAGGCTGGTTTATTAATTCATCTTCTATTTGTGTTCCTGCAAGTTTATTTGCTTTGGCTTGAAGTAATTGATGGGACTACTCGTTTAATATGTGTATTTTTAAAAAACTTGTCCAGAGCACCCAGAGTGCTGGATGGATGTGTTTTTATTGCAGGGCAGTAAAAATCCAAATGAATAACTAAATAATTGGCTGTTTCCATAGGACTTTTCAGGTGAAGTTTTATTGAATATATAATCTTACATCTAACTATGCAAAGGGCAAATCTTACCTACACATCTGAAATTAGGAAGAGTCCTGGATGCATGGGGACTGATATGCTCCCAAAATCACTGTAACACAATGACTGGTTTCTACACCGCTGCAGAAGAAATTTAAGTATGACAAAGGGTATACTAACAGAGGGCTAAGTATACATCTTGTGAATCCCCTCATTACAGGGTATAGGCAGATGCAGGATTTTGTAAAGGAGCAACAACCAGACCTGCAGAAGTGGCTACACCCCCTCTTCCAGCTCCTTCCTTTCCCAGGTAAGCCGTCTATACTACAGACTCAGCAGCAGAGACTTTTCTTTAAGTCTCCAGATCAGGTAAGAACCCTGCCCCCCATCCCTTTTCCACTCTTGGCACCCACCACCTCCATCTTCAGCATTCTATCCCCTCTCCTCCTGTTAACACCCTTCCCCCATGTGGTGCTGCCACTGTGCTTGCTGTCCCCAGCTGATGTCAGGAGGGCTGTGGAGCCACTCCTGCTTTGTTCCAGCTAGGCTTAGCAGGGGGCAGCAGTGGTGAAAGCGGTCCCCTTCCTGTCCAGTTTCTTCAGGTTTTTTCTGCCAGATCAGAAGTAAAATGGGGCAGGGCAACCCACTTGTCACTGCTGCTGTCTCCTACTGAGCCCAGCTGTAGTGGCTCTGGAGCCCCACCCCCAACAAACCTCCCAAACCACAACTTTCCCAATTGATTTCACAGAAGGGAGGAGCTCCAGAGCTGCTGCAGCTGATTTCAGCAAGGGAGAGCAACAACGGTGGCAGCAGAGTAGTTTGCCTGTCCTGTGCTTGGCAGGAAACACCCGGGAGAATGGGGCAGGGAGGAGGAACCTGACCATTGCTGCCACTAATGCTACTGCCCCTCATTGGAGCGAGGCAGAAGTAGCTCTGAAGCACCCCGAAACCCAATCAGCCAGGGACAGTGGCCGCAGCAGGTGGGGAAGGGGATGAATGGAAGGGGAGGAGATGTGCTGCTGAGAATGCAGGGGAATGGAAGGGGTGCTGAAAGTGAAGGAGGGATGGAAGGAGTCAGGATTCTTACCTGATTTGGGGACTTAAAATATCTCTGCTGCTACTCCAGCAGAGTGGTCTAAAAGAGGGGTACATCCCTCTCCCTTCTGGATCCATGCATGGTGAGGGGGAGGGATATGACAGCTGCAGAGGCTGTTAATTCACTGAGGACCTTGAGGCAGGAATTCTTTCCCTAAGTCTCAAAGCAGATACTCTGTCCCAAGTTTGTGCACATGGTGTTGGCACAGGAAACAGAATTTCCTGTAAAGAAATTAATTTACTTTGCAGGTGTATCTTTCCAGCATGTAATTATATGTACTCTAGGCTACATGGCCCTTGGCATTTGCGTGGGTGTGCAAATGGGAAGGAACAACAGAAGGAGCCTTCCTTCTTCCCCCTGAGCACTTTATACATGCACCAAGGGTAACTGAAGTCCCTTCATCTAGAAGGATGCAGAAACTCCTCCCTCCTTTACCTCTGGAGTTACAGAATTACCCCCAAGGAAGGTATTAAAGGGCATGTGTGTGGAGGACTGGAGACTCTTCTGAATGTCATGCATATATATATATATGCATGCTCATATATGTATATAGTGGGTCACTTGCTGTGGAGTGGGAGAGGATAGATGGGCTAAGCAGAAAAGGCAAAAACCATGGCACAAAAACCTTGGTATGAAAAAATGGCTTTTCTGTATTCAATTTGGATTTGGATTCGGCCTGATTCAGGGCACAGTGATTCAATTTGCTGATTCAGATCACTGTCCCAATTTGATTTGGCCAAATCCGAATCTGAAGATTCGATTCTAATTTGGAGAATCAGCGATTTGGCCATAGACACAGCTTTATGTATTTTCTACATACCTTGAGGTATAAAGTGCGGCTCATGAGATGGTGGGGTAGATGAAGCATCCCACACGAGAGTGGGGGGGGGTGGGAGGGGCCCGCATGCTTGGCAGCAGACCCTGAAGTGGATGCCTGCAGTGGGACCCCGGGTGCCCCCCCAAACTCAGGACGCACCAGTCACCGAGCCAGGGGGGAGGGGGGTGTCCCCCACACTCTCCACAGTGGACTTGGAAGTGGACTGGAAGTGCTTCTAGTGCATTTCTGGGTCTGCCGCCAAGCACACTGGGGACCCCCACACTCCTGTGGGATGCTCCATCTGCCCCACCATCTCAGCATTCATGAGCCACCTGGTACCTTGAGATATGTAGAAGAAACATATAAAGCTGTGTCTATGTTATCAAATTATCAAATCTCTCTGAATCAATTGAAGGCTTTCGATTCAATTCAGAGAGATTAATGGGTCTCCTGATTTGATTCGGATTTGGAGATTCGGCCACCAAATCGGGCTGAATCTCCTCCAAATCAAATCAGCGACTGAAGCTTCACACAGCCCTAATGGAGACCTCCATCCAGAAGGGGAAAGGCTGAGGTAGTTGTGTACAATTGCAGATGAAATTCCAGTTGGGGGAAGGAAACTGAGGTAGGTGTGGAAAGTTAAAAAGAAGATGTGACTCTTCCTACCCCAAATGCTGAGTTATGAAAGGAGCAACAGTTTGACCCCACTTCCCCCCTCCTTGGAGAAGCTGACAGCTGTTGTCAACACCAACTCTCTAAATGCTTCTGAATGAGGAATTCAGGGACTCATTTACAGAGAATGAACTCGCCTGGGGAAGACTGAAACTTGGGGATATATGGAGACAGTTATTGATGCCTCAGAAGCTATAGGTCTTGATACACAATGCCTTTTCTTAGGGTATAGCACACAAAGTCCAAGCTGTTCCATTAAAACTGTACCACAAGCCCTGAGATTCCTTGACAGGGTACTAAGGCCCTGAGATAAACCAAACCTGAGACCTTTTCAAAATATTCCTAGATATATCATGGACTTTTAATAATATAATCTAGTCAGGAATGAAATATGTATTTGTTGTAGTAAATTATGCTAGTTGCTGCCTAAAGGCTGTGGCTCTGTTCTCTCTGGAAGCAGACACATTAACTAATGACCTTTTATTGATTTTCATCAGGATGGGTTTTTCCAGCAAAATCCTTACAGACTATAGGAACTATAGGAGGCAACTACACATCTCTGCACTAGAACTTGTTGAAAAAGTAAGGATCAAGCACTTTTTGGCTTCAGCATATCATTTTCAAACCAAGGGGTGGGCAGAATGCCTTCATAGAACCCTTGAAAAAATAACAGGAACTCATAGGATTGGAATAAGTGTCTATCAAGTGTGCAGTTATACCCCAAAACTTGCCTATGTCCCTCCTAGCCATAGGGGTTGAGCCAATAAAAGGAATCACGCACAAAAATCCTTATTTTTCCTATGGGACCATTCCCCACCTTCCATCACTTTTCCCATGGGGTCATAACTACACCACCTCCAATCCAGACAATGCCTGCACAGCACAACTGTGTAGCACTGCATGTGGTTTGTTTCTAGCAGTTTGTGCCATATGATTTCAAAGTATTTTTTTCCCCAGTGCTATTATAGTGCTGAATACTCTCTTCAGATGTACTCCAGCTTCTGCTTACAGGAGGTTTTTAAAACACAAGATTCCTGATGCTTTCATATGGTTTTCAAAGGCTATATATTTTTCTAACTCCAAAGTCAATACTACAGCATTAATGTACTTCCACTTACTCTGCATACAGAGGCCATCTGTGCAGTTTTTGGATTGCAGGACAAGACCCTCGCAGTCCTTTCCACCATTCTTTGGTGCCGGTGCTGTGCATTCTCTCCTGCGCCAATGTGTACACTCCGTCCCACAGGTAGACCACTTACTCCATGATGTCCATCTGCCATCCACTGTAATAAGAAAATGACATAACTTAGGAAGATCAGAGAGAGAGAGAGCTGCAAGTACACACACACACACACACATACACACACACACACACAGAGAAAGAAGTTGTTTTTAAAAGAGCAACATGAACTGAAATCCTCTGTTTATCAAGAAAAGACAGCTGCCTATCTGACAGCACGAAAAGACAAATAGACTGTGGGAAAGCAAGCTTCCACAAACTGCTCTGAAAATTTGCCTCAAGCCTGTCTTAAAGCTGTCAGAGGGATGGAGCAGTTCAGTCTCCAGATGCATTTACTCCTAAGTCCATGTGTTGAGATTGCCAACATGGTAATAATTTGTGTGAACTACAGTGGTGGTTTCTGTGATTAA